CACAACCAATACCGAATTACCATCACCGGGGGGAATTCCGCCCTCCTGCTAAGATTGCGAAACTCACCCTTACGGAAGCAAAAAAACTTTTTCGAATCCGGTGCCAAACCACCCGAATCGACAAACACGCAGTGTATACAGACCCCGAACCATGCCAGTGTGGTATGGAAAACTCAGCGAAACATATACTTATGGAATGCCCAGCGTGGGCTCGAACCCGCGCCCTTTTGATAGAGAAGATCCCCGGAGCGATGACCTGGGAAAACTGGATGTTTACAAACTTGAGAACGGATCTCATCCTACAATTTGCAAAAGATTCTCAACTCTCGAAATGGTACGAGTCGGCGGAGGTGGAGGCGGACCTGGAAGAGGGGATGGAAGAAAATGATCAGTGACGGGATTAGGAAGGGCAGTTTTCTCTTACCTTTTAAATGCGGGTTTATTTCTGTTTTGATGGATCCAGCGCCCGAGTTCGCTGAGATATGTTATTTTTCTTTGCCGTTGGGTTTTCTGGTTGAGTGTCGTTTCGGGATTTCCTTGTTATTGTTTGTGTTCGTTCGTGTTCGCTTTTGTTCTTGTTTGTTTGTGTTTGTGTTTGTTTGTTTTTCTTTTCTTCTTCTGTTCGGTTTGTGTTTTAGGCGGTCGGTTCGGCGTGCGATAAGTCTTGTACTTCAAAGCAATATAAGTTTCTTCTTCTTCTTCTTCTGCATTCATTCGCTCGCCTCTGGCTCGCGATGGATTTCTTCCCCCCCGAGATGGAGTTATACTGATTCTCGAATTGCTTCGGTCCCTGAACTTCCCTCGCTCGACACCCCCCATTCTTTGTTCGTTCGGTGCCCTCACGGGACGCGTCCACCGTTCACCCCTCGCCAAACCAGCGGCTACTCTCGAAAGCCGCCTTCGCCCCTCCTTACTTTCACTCATCGCACGAGTGATCCCACACCTCGGGTACGCACACTGTCAGTAATCTCTAGTCAGCGAGAACCTACTGCCAAAGCGCTCGACAGCCCGCGAAGTTAGCGACCTTCGGTCGCGAAACTATCGTCAAATTTTTTACCCGAGGTCCCGTGACCTTACCCCTCTTTATCGGCCTTAACCAGGCCACCCACTTTTACCCGAGGCGGCCCGCTCCCCTCACCCCAACCCAACCGGTCTCCGAGACCACCCTCAACACAACACGGTCGGCACTTTCGATTGCGACCCCCATACATACTGAGCCTTCGGCTCAACCCTTTTTTGCATGTCCCCTCCAGAGGACACCACTTCAAATACGACTCGGGCACAGTCTTTAGCCGTTGCTCCAGGGACCGACGACCCCACCCACTCCTTACTTGACCTACCGGTCACTACTCCTTAACTCCTCGCTGCCTGACAACCAGACGCCCGAGGACCCACTCTTATACCACCCCCCTCGCTTCCACCCTGACGCTGCGGCGGTTGGCCTCTCCTGCCTTCGTGCGCGTGGTTTCCCAGTCCTGTTAAGGTTTGTCCACAGATATGACACCGGGAACGTTGGTAATGATATCGTTTCGATTGAACACTACGTTTAGGATTGTGCTCGCTTATGTAGTTGACGGAGAAGTTTGGGGTTCATTCTTACTACGGGGAGGTTTCTTTGTTGTCGCTTAGATTCTGCTTACCTGTACCACTTGTTATTTGCGCCCTTTTCGTGCGTCGTTTATTTTTATTTATGTACGTAGTTCTTGTAGCTGCGATAGTTAGTTTTTGTACTTTGTTTTGCTTTCGGGTTAGTCGGTGGAGGTTGTAGTCGGGTAGTTAGATGTGCGATAAGCTTCGGCTTCTAAGCAATATAAATTTCATCTTCTTCTTCTTCTTCTGTATTTATTCTACGAATATTACTTTTGTTCTACGCTACGTCATAGGGTTATCTTGGATCTTTGATCAAGATTGAACAACCCCATAGTCTATAGTCCCGCATCCCTTGATACTAAATCCTCGCCTCGGTTGTATTCCTTGGCACTATAGTCCTTCGTCCATAGACCCACATTATACGTAGGTTGCGTCCTCTATCGTCAACCAAGACAACACCATAGTTTACAATGTCGGAACATGCATCTATTGATTATCAACAACTCAGCGATAGTCTCCAAGCCCTTTTTCGAGCGCATCCACAGGTCGATGATACTGTTGGAACTGAAGCCTATGCGCTTCTCCAACAGTACCAACATGGTCTTGCTCAATATGCAACGGATTTACAGGAGGTAGAAGCGGAGGCCGAGAGGGCGAGGAGAAGGTTTGAGCAAGACCTTGTTGCTGCCCGAGCTCAACAGGCTCCTGTTGAGGCTGTCGCCCCAGTGCAAGCACCCATCGAAGACAATGTTCCACCTGCACCCCCAGTACCACCCGCTACAGATACTACCTATCGGTCGGAGAAGCTCCCAGACCCTGAGGTATTTAAGGGGGATCGTGATCGAGAAAGGGTACACCTGTTTAAGCAACAAATGAAGATTAAGTTATTGGGAAATGCCGATTGCTATCCCACACTACAGTCTAAACTATCCTATGCATTCAGCAGATTGGAAGGCGTTGCCGCCAATCAGTTTTTACAATATGTCGGTGAAGAAGGCATTGCTTTGCCCTCTATGCTACGATTTTATTAGGTTTTGGATACTGCTTTTGGGGACCCCGATCGGATGCGTACGGCTAGGAGGAATCTTAGGACCATCCGTCAACGAAATCGAACGTTCGCCGATTATTTTGCTGAGTTTCAACGGTATGCTGCTGAGTCAGGTATGGATGAAGTCTCTCGGATTGAGGCTTTGATGGAAGGTATTAATGCGGAACTCGATGAATCAATGATACACCATGAAACTCCCGCAACAGTAAATGCCTGTGCGACACTTCTGCAATGGTTGGATAATCGTCGCCGAGCTGCAGAAGCTAAGCGAGGAAGTAAAAAACCTTGGAATGCTACTACTATTCCGGCCCCTCGTCCTCCACCAGCAAATCCTGTTTCTGCTCCCCGTGCTGCCGCCCCAGTCGCCAATGCACCTGTTACTGAAAGTCATCCCTCATCCCGCCCGGGAGGTGATGTACCAGTGGATCTATCTGGAGGACGTCGTCGCCCCTCCCCTACCGAAAGAAATGCCCGCTTAGTTGAGGGCCGATGTTTCTATTGCGGAGGTGTTGGACATATGGTTAGGGATTGTCCCCAAGCGAGGGCAACTGGAAATCAGTCTAGGAGACCTGTGATGAGAGGAGCAGCATTGACGGTGGAGGAAAACGATGGAAGCGATAATGAGTCGGCAAAAGATTTGTCCCTGCACTAAGTGGCTTAGCTCAGAGACCATTTAAGGATTTTTCTAGGATGTGTATTTCTGGTTTTTCGGTATCAGAGGAGGAAATGGATGGAAACCAACTTGTAGCAACTTGTTCGATTTCACAGAATAAAAATTCTTTCATCCCCATCTACGCTCTTATTGATACCGGAGCATCAGGATACGCTTTTATTGACGAATCTTTTGCACGCCACAATAATCTTACAATGACCCCCCTTAAAATACCTCGCCGCGTAGACGTTATAGACGGAAGACCTATCAAATCAGGAAAAATCACCCATATTGTCGATGTCTCGCTAGACATTCATGGCCATCAGGAAACGGCGCCATGTTTTGTGACGAAGTTAGGACACTATCCAATCGTGATGGGAATACCTTGGATGCGACGTCATGATGTTACAATTCAACCAAAGGAAAATCTACTTGTTTTTGACTCTCAAAGCTGTTGTCAACACTGTTCGCTTAGTGGAACTGCAGTTATTGTTCATGGTATCTCAATTCCTTTACCGGAACACCATACAGTTATCGTTTCAGCAATTGAAAAATCTACCATCAATATTAAAGAACTAGTACCGAAGGAATTTCACCATCATCTCCATATGTTCCAGGAATATGACGCTTCAATCCTTCCACCTCATCGACCATCCCATGATATCGAAATAGTGTTAGAAGAAGGCAAACGACCACCATATGGACCCATTTATGGATTGTCTCAAATCGAGTTGAAAGCACTACGAGAATATCTTGATGAAAATTTACCTAAAGGATTCATTCGGGCTAGTGAATCACCAGCAGGAGCACCTATACTGTTTGTGAAGAAAAACGATGGAACCCTTCGACTCTGTTTTGATTATCGAGGTCTAAATGCAATTACAATTAAAAATCGATATCCGTTACCATTGTTAAAGGAAACCCTAGCCAAGTTGTCAAGAGCACAATACTATACCAAGTTGGATTTACGTTGGGGATATAATCAGATCAGAATAGCGGAGGGGGATGAATGGAAGACGGCATTCCGGACTCGATATGTACATTTCGAATATGCAGTAATGCCGTTTGGATTCATCAGCAAACCCGCAACCTCCGCCAGACGCTCTGGACGCTCGAGGCGCCCAGGGCGCTCGGTAGACAAACTGCCTCTCCAGAGAAGCAGCAGAGCGTTCCTGGCGCTCCCTGGCGCTTAGCATTCCGCCCTGGCGCGCACTAGGCTACTCGCGCGCCCTGGCGCGCACTAGCCCTCCCAACGCGCCCCGACAGTGATACGCTTACCCCGACGCAATGCTCTCTCGCCTGACGCTCTCTCGACGGAATGTTCTCTCGCCTGAGACTACTACCTATCTCCTGGACGCTCCTGGAGCTCTCGCGACGCCTCAGGAAGCGTTTTGTCCGCTCCTGAACCTCTCTGACGACTCCTGGGTATATCACTAATGCTTCTGGAGCACTCCCGACTGCTCCAGCGGCGCCCGACGCACCGCATTTTACCTTTCAGCGCCATGTTTTTACCAGGCATACTACTCTTTGCTTTAGTAGGCACTGCTTTGCAGAGCATCCAAAACCGTGATTCTATTACTAAATACTAACACTACAAGCGTCTTGAAATCGCCAATCGAATATAATACAGGTATATAGGTATCTCTCCAAAGCACTCGCCGCTGCTCTCCAAAGCACTCGCCATTGCGCTCCAAAGCACTCGCCGGTGCCCTACATATCCTTTTCCTCCTCCCCTCCCTCGCGATCCTCATCTTCATCCTCCTCGCCTTCCTCTTCCGCTTCAATGCCCCGAAGTTGAGCCTGAACCACCTCTTCCTGGCCGCCACCGTTGTCGGAGATATCCCCTGGAGCACTCGGAGGTGCTCTCCGAGCATTCCGGAATGCCGCAAGATCCGCCGCTAACGCTTCGTCGTCCTCGCTAAATCCATCTTCCGGTATCACCTCAATAGTGATACCCTTCTTCTCTCGTATCTATCAAGGTTAGCCTCCGTATGCAGAAGAGCGCTCCGCCATTGTAGCACCCATCTATAGCATACCTTCTCCCGGAGGTTATCCTTGATCACCTCCAACGTTGCCTCCTGATTCTGCCTACTCCTCCCCTTCCATGTGTTGCTCATCCTGTTGAACGTTTCTACTCGTGTGCAATGTCAGCGCGCGAATCCACTATAGCTCTGGGAGCATCTGTTACTGCTCTCAAAGCACTCGCTATAGCTGTAAGGGGATCAGGGATGCTTACTGACAACACTCTCATTCTGTGACTGGAAATGGTCAGGCTTCACGTATGTTCCCGTTGACCATGCCCGAATGCCATGCCAAATTGCAGTGGATATCAGGCAAATAAATGTAGGGGTAATCCGCTCTAGGAACTCGGGGTCTTTTACCCCTCGCATCCTGACCCCATCAAAGTATTTATAGTACAATATGTCGATAATCTCTGGCGCAAGAAACCGTAGACGGTAGGTCTAGTATCTGTTAGCAGCGTTCGCGAGTGCTCTCCAAGCATTCCGGGTGTCCGGGTGCTCTCCGAGCATTGACACCCGAGTGCTCTCTGGTCATTGACACCCGAGTGCTCTCTTAGCACCCCCGGGTGCTCTCTAGGGATTGATCATACCTCGTAATGCTGCGCAGGGCTCAAGAAGCGATCATTCTTTAAAAGATACTCTACTTAAGCAGCCCTCGCCTCAGGACTCGAGAGCTTTCCAAGCCCATAGATGGTCGAATCCGCCAGGGGCCCTTTAACCTCGTGCATCAAGTGCGAACGGACTCGGGAGTGTAGACTTCTGACCTATCGTTGTCAATTACGCTTCCAGAGCACTCGTCAACGTTTCAAGGGCATTCACCTGTTTGATAACGACCTCGTCCAGATCTGGCGCACATCCCACCCTGCGACTGGCAGCTGCCCACATGTTCACTACCAGTACCGAAAGCCTCGCTGCAGGTGGAAAAGGCTCATGTAGAAGAGTGTGGTCCCCGATTAGCGTGCTGCACTCCTTCTCAATCCTCTGAGCCTGCATTGAGAGAACGTTTGCACTCCTCGAGCTAGGTAACAAGGATCTCTGAGATAGGTTGCTCGCATGAATGTTAACAGTGCTCTCAAAGCGGTCGTCAGTGCTATCGGGAATACTACCAACCTCGCTTTCTGCTATAGGAGCATTTCCTTCCCTAATAGACGACGAAAGCTGTGCAATATCGTAGACTCTTGGTTGCGCTTCTGGTAAATATACCTGAGGGCTTGAGGGAATCCGGGGACTGCTCATAGAGCTCTCGCCAACGCCCTCAAAAGGCGGGGAGGAACGATAGGGGCGGTAAGTAGGTGAGGACTCCCCGTATCGAGAGCGCAATGAGGAAAGATCGATATGGCGCGTCGAAGAGCTGTAATCATGATAATAAACAGGTTCAGAAGGCCTAGACTGTGTGGGTATTGGCGGTGCTCTCTGGGATGCATTCTGGCTGGGTGCCGAAGTGGGAGCTGCTCTCCGTACTACCTTTGCACCCGGACGTGCTCCCCTCTAAATCGTTAGCGTTTTGTCCTTAACATTAATGGGTGGGATGGAGTCGAACCTGTACCACATCCACCGACACGTCGGAGGAAGCAATAACCTCCACTACGGCTCCGGTTGGTCTCCTCCGAGCATTGCCCAGTGCTCTGGCAGTAGTCGGCTGCACTGTACGAGGCCTCTTCCCCGTACTCTGGGATCTCTGCTGAGTGGAGGCTTGAGGTTCTTCCGACTCCTCCGGGTCGTCCAGGTTCTCCTCAGAGCTCTCCTGGGCGTTCTCTGGGGAGTCATCATACTCCGAGTGGCTGGTATCGGCGGTTTCCTCCACCTCTGGCACATCCTCCTGATGCTCCTGCACTTCAACGCTATCAGTATTGCCATCGGGGAGATGGAATTCTACCCTTCTAGGGCTGCTTCTTCCAGTGGATGTGTCGGTAGAACACAGAAGCCCTTTACGCGCTATTGGGGCGGTTGTCGACTGACTACTCCGAGTGCGGGCTGGCAGTGGAGTCAATGGTCGGCAAGGTATCTCAGACTCGTCAGTCAGTAAATCTTCATGTTCTTCAGGTCGTCTTGGGAGTCGTGGGCGCTTTGGGGCAAGAGGTGCTGAACCGGAGGAGCGCTTGGTGGGAGCCATTCTTATGGCTAGCAGGAATATCCTCAGTGCTCTAGGAGCACTCGCGGTATCTTTGATTAGAAATCAATTCTTGGCGAGAAAATTTGCGCCGCTAATCAAGAAGAATTTGCACGGCTAATCCTCCTACGGCAGGGATCCGCTCAACCGCATCATTTGTAATCACTCGTTTTACTGCACTTTGCACTTTCTGAAGCAATACCGAGTGCTCTGAGAGCAATCTAGGAGTTTGACTCGACTCTGAAATAAAAGCAATGCAATTACGACACGGAATAATCTAATCTAATCTAATCTCATCTAATCTCATCTAATCTCATCTAATACGACAAAACACATCCATTGATATATGCTCACAAGACAAAGGAAATCCAAAACATCAAATCGTACAGCACCTCCATCTCAGTAGCACTCGCGAGTGCTCAGAGAGCAATCTGTACAGCTTTTCAAAGGTTAGTAGTGAGAAATCCGCAGGAAGAGTGGTGAGAGACTATACCAAAGGAGACTAATGATGCCCACCACCATCACCACCACCACCGCCTCCACCGCCTCCAGCTGGCCCACCACCTCCACCACCACCACCACCACCGCCTCCACCACCGCCTCCAGAAGGTCCACCACCACCACCACCACCACCACCGCCCGGAGGTCCGCCCGGAGGAGGAGGAGGAGGAGGAGGAGGAGGAGGAGGAGGAGGAGGAGGAGGAGGAGGAGGTCCGCCCGGAGGAGGATTACCACCACCACCACCACCACCACCGCCGCCCGGAGGAGGATTACCACCACCACCACCACCACCACCACCACCGCCCGGAGGAGGATTGCCACCACCACCACCACCACCACCACCGCCTCCAGCAGCAGCCGCGAGTGCGTCAGCAGCTCTCTTGGCTGCTAGCCCGGCAGGCGTCCAGATTACTCCCTGTGCAAAGTTTGCGTCAGCAACCCCTACACCCAGAGGATACTTCCTCAGGTATTTGGGGTCTAAGTCGTCGATAGCATCCTGCTGTCTATCGCGACGTCTAACAAGAGTCTGGATTAGCCTTTGATTACTGGCATCAGTTCTGGGCAAATATACCCTCAGTCCTTTAGCATTTATGCGGTGATTTCCCTCCTCGTAATCAGAGTTCTCTGCTGGAATAACGATCGTGGTGTAATCGTCTTCCTCGATATGAGGGAATGCTCGTGTCAGCGGCGGTGTTTCAGCACCACCCAAATTAGCACCCGCGCCCGCTCTGTGGAGTACCGCCAGTATCCTCCGAGGCCTGCCAACGCTATTCTTCAACCAACCCTCGACCTCTTCCGAATCAGTGATCTGCACCTCCATCGGCCGAACAGGAGGATTGGATGCCGGTGGAACGTTATCGAGTGCTCCCCAGATACTCCTGATTGCTCTGCCGGGTGGGGTGTGCTTCAGGATCAAATTGCAGAGCCCTGGAAACGTTATCTTGGTCAGAACTCCAATGAACGAATTCTGATTTCGTCGATGGTTCCAGTCATAGATAGGGGGCGGGGCAACCCTGGAGAATGCTCCTAGAGCATCCGGGTCTACCACCGTAACCATTATGGAAGCTCTATCGAGATCTGCGGACACTGGGTCCCGTTTACGCTTCTTAGAGCGTTGGGCGGGCAGACCACCGTCCTCATCATCATCGCTATCGTCAGCAACTTCTTTATACTCGCGATTTCCCTGCCCCCTCGATAGCTTTTCCTTCTGCCCAACATCACCGATGAGCCACTTCAAAGCGTCCGCGAGTGCTCTGCGGGTTGCGGAATCGCCTCCGTTCCACATAGGCAGGAAACCACGGAGAGGACGTATGTTCAACACATGGAGGCATAGAGCATCGAACGCTGCTGCTCCGGAAACGGTTTTGTTGACCCAACCGGTGTTCTGCATCTCCGCTTTGAGGCTGTTGCGGATGTTAGTGTACAATTTAGGGAGGTTGATCAAACCTAAAGCCATCTTTGCTTTGTTTGCCTCAGTCATTCTGCCGGGGTATCGGGCTTGAGAGATTGGGGATGATGCTTCTGGAGCACTGGCGTATGTTGCTGTTACGGGCATGCCAAGTATTTACGGGAGTAAGAGAAAAGGCTAATTAGATACCCCAATACCCTCTGTATGCTAATGTCAACTCCGGTTCGCACCCACGAGGTGCGGTGCGATCGATATGCGACCAAATGCGGAGTTGCGGTTTTCCTAGTTAAAAAACACGTTTTCGACCCCAATAATAACCCCCGGAGCGTCAAACCGCCGGAGGGGAGTGTTTTGGTACCGGTGGATATATGAGGGACAGCTGGAATCAATCGGATGGAAGTTCGGACCGCTCGGAGCGAATCGGCGCAAGCTGCCAGCCGACCGAGTACCTATCGGCGGTACCTGTGGGCATGAGAGGACTCTGCTATGTGGGAAAGCGATGTGGGAAGAGGCCTGAGTAGGTAGCCTTGCCGTCCGAGACCTCCGAATAGCCGACGCTGATGATTACCCACCAGACGGCCGATGGAGAAAAGACATCGACAGGGAAACGTGGATTAGAGTGGATAAATAGGTTGAGGGGTTGTAGCGGATTTAGGAGTTCGGGTTACGGACTTAGGAGTTAAAAGTTCTTGGTTGTTTTTCAGGGTCTCGGGCATGCCCCGAGTGTATTCTGTATTATTAGTAGACTGGGTCCTCGAGACATAAGCGAGGGATATAAATACTGTGTCATTCACTGACTAGCCAAACCATCATCGGCGAAATCAGAGTCTTAACAATATAAATCGTTGATACTCGAGTTACAACTTTATTTGACTATACTTTTTGAATTACTTTACTCTATCGTGACTTCGAACTCTACCTGAACTACTACGTCAAAGACGGTCGAATTCTATACGCTAACTCTAGTGAATCTTTGTTGATAACGTAGCTCGCGGGGCCCGTATCGGATCAAGGAGAATTATACTCGACGTTGACTGAAGAGACCTTGGAGACTTCTATCTTTGTAGCTGTTAGCCGAACTCTGAGCTCTGCGTAGTGTACTCTTGTGGTCTGGTACGCATCCCTCACAGTTACCTGAGCACGCGAGGGAGTTTCTGGGGCACGATCTCTGCGGCTTTGCCTCTGCTCTGCCGGTGGAGGGGAACTAGGTATTGGTAGCCGACGGCGACGTCGGGATTGAGAGCTCTGTGAAGCACTGGCGACTGCTTCTGGAGCAGGGGCACCAACTGGGAGTACGGTTCTACGGACAGGGGCCGACGGTTGTGGCGGCGAGCTGCCCAATTCTGGGGAAGTGCTGGAGACTCGTTGAAGTGCTCTGTTACGGGCATGCCAAGCATTTATGGGAGTAAGAGAAAAAGCCAGTAGATACCCCAATACCCTCTGTACGCTAATGACAACTCTGGACCGCACCCGCGGGGTGTGGTGCGATCAATATACGACCAAAACACGGAGTCATAAAAAACACGTTTTCGACCCCAATAATAACCCCCAGAGCGTCAAACCGCCGGAGGGGTGTTCTTTGGTACCGGTGGATATATGAGGGACAGCTGGAAGCAATCGGATCGAAGATCGGATCACTCGGAGCGAATCGGCGCAAGCTACCAGCCGACCGAGTACCTGTCGGCGGTACCTGTGGGCATGAGAAGACTCTGCTATGTGGGAAAGCGATGTGGGAAGAGGCCTGAGTAGGTAGCCTTGTCGTCCGAGACCTACGAGTAGCCGACGCTGACGATTATCCACCAGACGGCCGATGGAGAGGAAACATCGACAGGGAAACGTGCATTAGAATGGGTAAATAGGTTGAGGGGTTTCAGCGGGCTTAGGAGTTTGGGCTACGGACTTAGGAGTTAAATGTTCTTGGTTGTTTCTCAGGGTCTCGGGCAGGCCCCGAGTGTATTCTGTATTATTAGTAGACTGGGTCCTCGAGACATAAGCGAGGGATATAAATACGGTGTCATTCACTGACTAGCCAAACCATCATCGGCGAAATCAGAGTCTTAACAATATAAATCGTTGATACGCGAATTACAACTTTATTTGACAATACTTTTGAAATACTTTACTCTATCGTGACTTCGAACTCTACCTGAACTACTACGTCAAAGACGGTCGAATTCTATACGCTAACTCTAGTGAATCTTTGTTGATGACGTAGCTCGCGGAGCCCGTATCGGATCAAGGAGATTCATACTCGACGTTGACTAAAGAGACCTTGGAGACTTCTACCTTTGTAGCTGTTAGCCGAACTCTGAGCTCTGCGTAGTGTACTCTTGTGGTCTGGTACGCATCCCTCACATGCTCGTCCTCCTTGGGGTTTTGGGCCTGCTGCTGGGCCTGCTGCTGTCCCTGCTGCTGGTCGCTTTGCGGAGTGTGTTGCTGGGCCTGCTGGGCCTGCTGCTGTGCCTGCTGCGGAACGTTCGCTGTCGGACTCGGCTTCAGATTGCACTGATTCCCACTCTTTTGGGAAGAGTCTCGAGTGCCGAGTGGGCGGTGACGAGTGCTGAGGGGGCGGTGACGAGTGCTGTCGGGAGCTTGAAACCACTCGGGGATGCTTCCGGGAAGACGACGACTGCGGCGGGGGTGTCTCTTCTATCTCTTCTGGGACAGGCTGGAGGCTTTTCTGCTCTTTGCGAGACGAGGAAGGGGAGGACTTCTCGTTCTTCTTCTGCTCCTTCTTCTTCTCCTTCTTCTCCCTCTTCTTCTCCTTCTTCTTCTCCTTCCTTTCCTTCCTTCGGCGTTTTTTGCTACCTGATTCGTCGGTGTCTGGATCGCGATCTCGCTTCTTCTGTGAGCGCTCTGGAGTGCCCTGAGGGGAGGATGAAGGCTATAGTGAATATGTGATGAGTATGGTTCTGAAAGCAATAGGATTAAGGAGGATATACCATCTTATATATGATCGCTAGGTGTGCAGCTTGAAAGCTTGAACTTGAAACGAAACTTGAAACTTCAAGTTGAAGCCCAAACTTGAAACGTGAGCTGAATGCGCTTTCAAGAGGTATCTTGAAAGCTTAGATAGCAGGGAGGGGCTTGAAGTGATAGGTAGCGCTGGAAGATGGTTAGGAAGCTCTCACGATCTGGAAGGAGGAGAAGGGTGCTCTTATACCGAATACAATCAGCTATTCCAGGGCTCATCATGCTTCCGAGAGCACCCCCGTGTGCTATACGAGCATCCTCGGGTGCTGTACGAGCATCCTCGGGTGCTCTACGAGCACCCCCGGGCGCTCCCACTAGTGCTGCATATGGTGCTCCAAGCCGTGCTGAATGTTTGCTCCAATACATGACGTAGATCAATGCTCTAGGCGCACTCGAAGATTCTACTCTGGAGGTTTGATTCAATTGAATGACGTAGATGAATGCTCTAGGCGTACTCGGGAATGCTCTGACGGTAGTACCAACAGTGGTGTCGATTGGATTCCTATGTTGGGTTGGTGTTTGTGTTCTTGTTGGTGTCGGGGCTCTGTGCGCTATGAAGCTGAGTCGGAGAGTGTGTATCCTCTGAGCGTATATCCGATATTAGTATCGAATTTGGCGGTGAGAATGGTCTCTCCATGATCTGAATAGCATCCGCGAGTGCTCAGAGAGAGAGAGCGAATGCTGAGAGGGTAGAACGGAGCATCGTTGGCGGCATGATTGTGGTGATTGTTGTTTCTTCTCGTTGTATGCTTGTGTTTGTGTTTGCATTATTCCGTTGGAGATGTATGACGTCAAAATCAGCCTCGCTATGGTGGAGGTGCGAGCGCAAGGCTCACAATCACTTGGCGAGCGCTCTGCAGCGAGCACTCTGTAGAGCACTCTGCACAACCGCTTGGCGGCGAGAGCCTCATTGGATGCCAAATCGTTCGTAGAACACTCTGCACCGCCTGCAGGAAAGAGCCTCCGCCTTGGCAGACTGCAAATTCTCGAGTCCAATGAAATCGTCTTGCCCTTTTTGCAGCAAGAGGTACAGCTCCTCCGCGAATTTTGACAGACATCTTCGAACGATCCATCCTTTGGAAGCAGATGAATGGCTGGGAAATCAATATTCACTGCTGGAGCACGATCAACCTGCAGAGACCCCCGACAACACTGACGAGAGCCCAGAGAGCATTCCCGATTACTATTCAGACACGCATTACGATTCAGAGCCGGACATTTTCGACCAAGATTCGGGTAACAATTCGGACCTCGAATCCGAATCATATTTCGTGATGGAAGAGGCAGAAGGCGATTCAAATGGGCATAGTAGGGCATCTACGACAGTTTACGAGGGTGCTGGGGAGCCACTTTACCGCTCGGAGGACTACGACGAGTGCTCACAGAGCCTTCTCCAATACCCATGGCACCCATTCCGGTCAGCATACGAGTTCAGAATAGCACGCTATTTCACACTGTCCAAAGCCTCACAGGGGAACATCGACAGCTTCTTTCTACACGCTCCGCCGAGTAGTGGCGAGTGCTCCTACAGCACTGGGCGGGGTTTTATCAAGAGGTTGGAGGAAATGAACGATATACTGGGAAAGGCGAGCTGGAATCATTCGGAGGTGGATATTGGGGGGGAGAAGATCTCTTACTACTACCGGGATCCAATGGTAGTCGTCCGATATCTTCTAGGGCAACGTGCCTTCCGGGAGTCATTGGTGTATTCGCCCGTGGTGGAGCATAATGAATTCGGCGAGCGAATGTACGGGGAAATGCATACAGGAGATTGGTGGTGGGAGATACAGGTCCGTAAACTTCACCCTGTCAACTTGAGGTGCTCTATGAGCAGTCGATGATGCTACAGGAGCAGTCGCTAATGTCTTCTCGACAGAATACGTTACCGGAGGGGTCCACTGTCGTACCAATTATCTGCGCGTCGGATGGCACACATCTGACAAATTTCAGCGGGGACAAGAAAGCCTGGCCAATCTATCTTACCATCGGGAACATCAAGTCGTCGGTGCGCAACAAGCCCACAGGGCATTCATTCATTCACTTAGGGCTGCTACCAGTGCCACCGAAGCTCGGAAAGAATACAACACTCGCTAATTCCGTTTTAAGACGTCAGAGTCAAATGGCACTGCATCGTGCCCTTGGAGAGATCTTTCAAACCATTCGCGAGTGCTCTCAGAAGGGCGAGCTAATCAAATGCGCCGACGGCTACGAACGACTATGCTTTCCGGTGCTCTCGGGCTGGATCGCCGATCAACCCGAGCATTCAAACTTGCAAAACATTAGCACTAGTGCTTGCCCGAGATGCGAGGTGGAGTTTCACAATCTTGGGAGCACTCGTCGAAGCTCTATGCGCAAACACGAGGACTACAGGGAGAGGGTACAGCTATTTGGCGAGAACCCGGGCAATCTAGAACCGGTAGAATACCTTGTTGCGAGATCCGTCAAAACACTCTTCAATGCTTTCTGGGGTATGCCGAGGGTTAATCCGTACGATCTCAATAAACCGGACATACTGCACAATATTTACCTGGGGATGTTGAAGCACATGATGGAGTGGATTCAGGGTTTCTTGAAGAAGCATCATCGATTGGAGGAATTCGACAAAGCTTGGGCTTCGATTGCGCCTTACTCTGGACTAGCAGTACCAAACAAGGCATATCGTTCTACCACCTAATGGCAAGGGAAAGAGATGCGGAATCTGGGGCGGGTCGTTCTAGGAACACTCGCGGCTGCTCTGAGAAACCCGGGAGTGGCTGTCAGGAGCGACTTCGCAAAAGCTTTGAAATGCGTTCGAAGCCTAATAGACTTCCACTTAATGGCGCAATATGGGAGTCATACAACGAGCACACTGGACTATATGGAGAGCTATCTCGAGGATTTCCATAAACACAAGGATATCTTTTTAGAATTCAGGGCGTACAAGAAGACGTTAAAGGATGCGAGAGATCGAACGAAAGCAATTAGTGGCTCCCAGAGCACCCAGCGAGGCTTGGAGGAGATCCGGGAGATTCGGGAAAGATCGCACTTCAACTTCATCAAATTGCACGTCTTAATGCACTACCGGGAGCACGTTGAGCGCTTTGGTAGCATTCCTCAATACTCCACGGACGTCAGCGAGCTTGCCCATGTACGGCAGGTAAAAGAAGCTTACAGAGCGTCCAACAAGGTTGATGCTGCGACGCAGATACTGGACTATGGAGGGAGGCGATTGGCGTTAGAGATTCGAATTCTGAATCTGAAAGACATCGTCGGAGGTTCTGAGAGCACTGACGACATCCTCTGGAGCCATCGGGATAACCTCAAGGAGTTGCTCGACATTTTCAAGATCGAGGACCGCAAGAAAACGACAAATGAACGCTCAATAGTAGAAAGCGGACTGCCCCTGAAGCGTCTTTGCAACCCCTCCGCGAAATCGGAAAGACTTTTCAACGTGGCAGACGGACTGCAAATGAGCCATCTCACGCTATATCGCCTGATAAAGGAGTATGCCGAGGATGCGGGATGCTCTCAGAGCTTTGCCGGAAGCTCTGAGAGCATGTTGGAGCGCCGGGTGGAGGTTTTCACATGCTTGCAGGTTCCGATACCAATCTTCCAAAGGCCTGACGTATACGAGGTTCACAACATCAGGTGTACGGGAACAGCATCTTTTAGGAAGGGGAAAATAAGAAAGGATTGGGCATGGGTATCGGTAGGTTCCTCAGAGCAGTGGGGAGTGTTTCGGGGACGCTTACCAGGACGTGTGGAGGCTCTGTTCAAGGTGCGGGATAGCACAGGGCGCGCACATAGACTATGTGTAGTTGAGCTGCTTGAGGCGAAGGATCGTGGTATCGCTGATAGCTCACATGGGCTGCTGAAGGTCTGTAGGAGGAGGAGGAAGAGGATGTGGGTCGTGAATATTCGGAGTATATTAGGAATGGCCCATTTGTTCGAGGTGGATGTTGGCAATTGGCTGGTAAATACTAGGATAGATTTGCGTACGTGGAATGAATTCAGTTGAATGCTGTAAAGCATTCCCGAGTGCTATGCAGTGATGTGAGAGGCTTACCGGGTGCTATCCAGTGAGAGCATTACCGAGTGCTATCCAGTGATGTGAGAGGATTACCGAGTGCTATCTAGTGATGTGAGAGGATTACCGAGTGCTATCCAGTGATATGAGAGGAATACCGAGTGCTATCCAGTGATATGAGAGGAATACCGGGTGCTATTCAGTGAATGCTTTGAGGGCAGTGGCGAGTGCTCTACGAGTGGAATGTTAGACCCAATAGGACCGTCTAATTCAAAATTCGTGTCATTCTGCTAGTACGCATGCGGATTGGAAGAGGGAGGTGAGTATCGGCCGCTCAGTATCTGAGTCTGACTATCCAGCAAGCCAGCTCCAGGAGGGCGCGGTAGGCAGGCATTGGTCTTCCGACCAGTAAAGTCATCCTGCACCTTTTTCCAGTCCATGTTTGCTGCTTATGCATGGACATTGAGCTTTTCAGACGAGCCGTACCATGGCCTCAACCTCAAGGCTTATGCCTTTCACGAATCGACAGATACATACACGTTCGTCAAAGGTTTGGTAGCCATCTCCAGTATACACGACAGTGCTCGTATCAGTATTCCGCGACTGACCGTTCAGCGGCGTGAAGAATACCCACGTGAGATATCGTTTGAGGGACCGGCGATGCCTACCTTGCCTTTGAAGAAAGCGTATCGATTCATATGGGTCTAAGTGGGGGGTGTCCCACCTTGAATAGTATTATTAAAGATGTTTCCGCAGCTCTACGAGCATTGGTCAGTGCTATGGAAGCATTCGTGGTGCTCTCCGGACGTGAGCAATATCTCTTGGCAGTGCCTGGAAAAACTCATTGACGAAGAGTGTCTTGGCATGGGCGATATGCTCTGGCGGTGCCTGGCGAGCAGCTCGTTGAGAATGCTCTCCTGGCGCAGATAGTACTGACGAGTGCTCTCTAGGCGTGAGCGATATGCTCTGGCGGTGCCTGGCGAGCAGCTCGTTGTGATTTGATCTCCTGGTGCAGATATTACTGACGAGTGCTGTCAGGGCGCTGACGCTGTCTCCTGGCGGGCCCCGACACGTCCGTGATTCGTTGCCAGTCCCTGGGCGGAAACTGATTAGTTGATCGTTCTTCAGACGCAGGAGGCATACCCAGGCGTGTCATGGCGGAGAGAGCATCGCCGGGTGCTCTCAGGACGAGCACCATATCGCCTGGAGGTGCATGACGCGTGAAAGTGCACGACGCGCCTAGAGAAGATTGCGGAGAGAGCATTGCTGGGTGCTCTATGGATGTAGGTGATATCGCTCAGAGTACTCTGTAGACAGTAGCATTAGCGAGTGCAAAGAAGCTCATTAGGGAGTGCGAATATGCTGCTCTGACAGCGGACTGCTTGGAGCGAGTGCTCTGCTTGGATCGAGTGCTCTGCTGGAGCGAGTGCTCGAGTTGCAGTCGTGAAAAGCTCTCTTCTCTGACGTGGTCAGATGATTGGCACTGCGCTCTGGCGGAGTGTATAGACGATTATGCGCCCTGGTGCTGCCAGACAGAGAACATACTGCTCTGGGGGCGTCGGGCGCGGATGCTAGGATCGCCTGGCGCGAGCACCCTGCTGTGGCGACGCCTGGCGCGAGCACCCTGCTGTGGCGACGCCTGGCGTGAGGACCCTGCCCTGGCGACGCCTGGCACGAGCACTCTGCCCTGGCGGCGCCTGGCGTGCCTGGCGCCCAGGGCGTAGGTGCTGCGCCCTGAGGAATAGCAGAGTTTGCTGATGTTAGCTAACGCCCCTGGTACATTTCAACATTGGATCAATGATATCTTACGTCCCTATCTCGACCAATTCATAACGGCATACTTAGACGATATCCTTATCTACTCCGAGACTCTATCAGAACATAAAGAACACATCCGAAAGGTTTTAAAGGTACTTGATGAGAATCATGTTCACCTTAAACCTGAAAAATGTGAATTTATGGTTCAAGAGACGAAATATCTTGGCTTAATCCTTACCCCGAATGGAAATAGAATGGACCCAAAGAAAGTTATCGATGTTTTGGAATGGTCTACACCGACGAGCCTTCATGATGTTCAAGTATTTCTAGGATTTGGAAATTTTTATCGACGATTCATTCTCGGATATTCGAAAATTGTTGCTCCACTTACAGCCTTGACAAAGAAAAATGTTAAATTCGAATGGACGTATGACAGGGAGGAAGCATTTCAAACTTTGAAAAAGATGTTTACAACGGCACCGACACTAGTTCATTTTGATCCGGATCGGAGGATTGTGATAGAAACCGATGCATCTGATTATGTTTCAGCAGGAATCCTATCTCAACGTGATGATGAAGGAATCCTACATCCAGTCGCTTTCTTCTCCAAAAAACATTCTCCTGCAGAATGCAACTACGAAATCTATGACAAAGAACTCTCAGCAATCATACGATGCTTTGAAGAATGGCGACATCACCTGGAGGGAGCCCAATTCCCAATTGAAGTTTTTAGCGACCATCGAAATCTGGAATATTTTATGACAACAAAGTTATTAAATCGTTGACAAGCCCGTTGGTCCGAATTTCTTTCACGCTTCGATTTCGTTATACAATTTCGGCCAGGAAAACAGGGAGCGAAACCAGATGCATTGACTAGAAGGTCAGGTGACCTACCTAAAGAGGGGGATGAACGGTTGACGCATCAGAGTCAAGTGATTTTGAAGCGAAAAAATTTGAGTACAAAGCTAAGTTTGTTCGCGGGTTCTTTGTCAAATGAATCCGCTGAAGGAGCGTCCACTGTAGAGGAGTTATTTTCAAAAGCTTACCAAGTTGATAGTTTTCCAAATAAGATCCTCACTATGCTTCGGAACGGCGTTCGCCACTCAAATAAAATTTCGCTTGCCGAATGCACGGAAGACAACAACGGTCGGCTACTTTATCGAGGCGCACTATATGTACCAGAGGACAATGATCTTCGGCTAAGGCTCCTAAATAAACACCATGACAAACTATCGGCAGGTCATCCAGGCAGAGCAAAGACCTTAGAACTCCTAAATCGAGAATATTATTGGCCACAAATGCGGAAATATGTCGACCAGTATGTTAGGAATTGCAATGTATGTGCCCGTAGCAAGGCACCTGTTACGGGCATGCCAAGCATTTACAGGAGTAAGAGAAAGGCTAGTAGATACCCCAATACCCTCTGATACTAATGGCAACACCACTATCAACTTCGGTTCTCACCCACGAGGCGGGGTGCGATCGATATGCGACCAAATGCGGAGTTGCGGTTTCCCTAGTTAAAAAACACGTTTTCGACCCCAATAATAACCCCCGGAGCGTCAAACCGCCGGAGGGGAGTGCTTTTGGACCGGTGGATATATGAGGGACAGCTGGAAGCAATCGGATCGAAGATCGGATCACTCGGAGCGAATCGGCGCAAGCTACCAGCCGACCGAGTACCTGTCGGCGGTACCTGTGGGCATGAGAGGACTCTGCTATGTGGGAAAGCGATGTGGGAAGAGGCCTGAGTAGGTAGCCTTGTCGTCCGAGACCTACGAGTAGCCGACGCTGACGATTATCCACCAGAAAGGCCGATGGAGAAGAAACATCGACAGGGAAACGTGCATTAGAATGGGTAAATAGGTTGAGGGGTTTCAGCTGACTTAGGAGTTTGGGGTACGGATTTAGGAGTTAAATGTTCTTGGTTGTTTTTCAGGGTCTTGGGTAGGCCCCGAGTGTATTCTGTATTATTAGTAGACTGGGTCCTTGAGACATAAGCGAGGGATATAAATACTGTGTCATTCACTGACTAGCCAAACCATCATCGGCGAAATCAGAGTCTTAACAATATAAATCGTTGATATGCGAGTTACAACTTTATTTTACTATACTTTTGAAATACTTTACTCTATCGTGACTTCGGACTCTACCTGAACTATTACGTCGAAGACGGTCGATTACCATCCGCTAACTCTAGTGAATCTTTGTTGATAACGTAGCTCGCGGGGCCCGTATCGGATCAAGGAGATTTATACCCGACGTTGACTGAAGAGACCTTGGAGACTTCTACCTTTGTAGCTGTTAGCCGAACTCTGAGCTCTGCGTAGTGTACTCTTGTGATCTGGTACGCATCCCTCACAGCACCACGCAATGCACCTTATGGAGTACTCCGCCCGATGCCAATACCTGATGGACCGTGGACGGATGTGTCAATGGATTTTGTTACCGATCTTCCTGAGAGTGAGGGATATGATGCAATCTTGGTCGTGGTTGATAGGTTAACTAAAATGCGACATTTGATACCAACAACCAAAGAAGTGGATTCAAGGGAAGTGGCGAGGCTATATATCGATAATGTTTGGAAGCTACATGGATTACCAGATACTATTGTATCTGATCGAGGAACACAGTTCGTTGCAGAATTCTGGAGGTCGTTTTGTAATCGTCTAGAAATATCACCAAAATTCTCTACCGCATTCCATCCCCAAACAGACGGACAAACGGAAAGGATTAATGCCGTGATGGAACAGTACCTCCGAAGCTATGTTTCCTACCAACAGGACGATTGGGCTCGAATGTTACCAATGGCTGAATTTGAGACAAATAATCATGCCTCTGAGACAACAAAGGTCTCCCCGTTTTATGCCAATTCGGGAAGAAATCCAAGAATGACCTTTGGTCTTTTAGAACATGGTAGGACTACTGTGGAAGATCAAGCTAATAGCATTGCATGGAAAATGAAAGAGATAGTGGGATTCCTAAAGGACGAGATGTTCCGAGCGCAAAGAATACAAGAAGAATCCGCCAATGCGAATCGAACTCCAGCCCCTCGCTACAATTTGGGAGATAAAGTTTTTCTATCGACACGCCATATTCTAACGAAGCGGCCTTCCAAGAAATTCGATTGGAAACGTATTGGACCCTATAGCATTAAACGGATCGTTCATCCCTATGCTTACGAATTGGAACTTCCCCGGTCGATGAAAATACATCCAGTATTTCATGTCTCATTATTGTCTCCTGAAGCAGGTAATCCTTTACCTGGACAACAACAGTCGCCACCACCTCCGGTTGAGATCGAAGGAGAAGAAGAATGGGAAGTCGAAGATATTTTGGATTCGAGGAAACGAAGAGGAAGGTTTGAGTACTTGGTACGATATAGAGGATATGATGAAGCCTCCTGGCAACCACTATCGGACCTTGAGCATTCACCTGATATCGTCAAACGATTCCATGAGCATTATCCAGGGAAGCCTAAGCCTACCAGGAGGTAGGCCTTAGAGGGAGGCATGGTCTGTAACGGCAGCCATGTATTTCGGCTAGGTAATAGATTGGTACGAGATGGGAAAGTATTGTGTAGTGGGATTAGGATTTGTAATGAGGATTTCTGTTATGTTCTTTTTGTTTCTGTTACGCAGAGGTATTAGTCATCATTGGACTATGGTTGGATATATAAGGGGGCGTTGCTTTGTGCTTTTACTTGTTTTCTCTTCTTCCTTCTTTCTTTACGCAACCTCTGCATTCATTCGGTCGCCTCTGGCTCGCGATGGATTTCTTTCCCCCCGAGATGGAGTTATACTGATTCTCGAATTGCTTCGGTCCCTGAACTTCCCTCGCTCGACACCCCCCATTCTTTGCTCGTTCGGTGCCCTCACGGGACGCGTCCACCGTTCACCCCTCGCCAAAACAGGGGCTACTCTCGAAAGCTGCCTTCGCCCCTCCTTATTTTCACTCATCGCACGAGTGATCCCACACGTCGGGTACGCACACTGTCAGTAATCTCCAGTCAGCGAGAACCTACTGCCAAAGCGCTCGACAGCCCGCGAAGTTAGCGACCTCTCGGTCGCGAAACTATCGTCAAATTTTTACCCGAGGTCCCGTGACCTTACCCCTCTTTATCGGCCTTAACCAGGCCACCCACTTTTACCCGAGGCGGCCCGCTCCCCTCACCCCAACCCAACCGGTCTCCGAGACCACCCTCAACACAACACGGTCGGCACTTTCGATTGCGACCCCCATACATACTGAGCCTTCGGCTCAACCCTTTTTGCATGTCCCCTCCAGAGGACACCACTTCAAACACGACTCGGGCACAGTCTTTAGCCGTTGCTCCAGGGACCGACGACCCCACCCACTCCTTACTTGACCTACCGGTCACCACTCCTCAATTCCTCGCTGCCTGACAACCAGAAGCCCGAGGACCCACATTCGATCCACCCCCCCTCGCTTTCACACCTGACGCTGTTGCAGTTGGCCTCTCCTGCCTTCGTGCGCGTGGTTTCCCAGTCCTGTTAAGGTTCGTCCACAGATATGACACCGGGAACGTTGGTAATGATATCATTTCGATTGAACACTACGTTTAGGATTGTGCTCGCTAATGCAGTTGACGGAGAAGTTTGGGGTTCATTCTTACTACGGGGAGGTTTCTTTGTTGTCGCTTAGATTCTGCTTACCTGTACCACTTGTTATTTGCGCCCTCTTTGTGAGGGATGCGTACCAGACCACAAGAGTACACTACGCAGAGCTCAGAGTTCGGCTAACAGCTACAAAGGTAGAAGTCTCCAAGGTCTCTTCAGTCCACGTCGGGTATAAATCTCCTTGATCCGATACGGGCCCCGCGAGCTACGTTATCAACAAAGATTCACTAGAGTTAGCGTATATAGAATTCGACCGTCTTCGACGTAATAGTTCAGGTAGAGTTCGAAGTCACGATAGAGTAAGGTAATTCCAAAAGTATAGTCAAATAAAGTTGTAACTCGCGTATCAACGATTTATATTGTTAAGACTCTGATTTCGCCGATGATGGTTTTGGCTAGTCAGTGAATGACACCGTATTTATATCCCTCGCTTATGTCTCAAGGACCCAGTCTACTAATAATACAGAATACACTCGGGGCATGCCCGAGACCCTGAAAAACAACCAAGAACATTTAACTCCTAAGTCCATAACCCAAACTCCTAAACCCGCTGAAACCCCTCAACCTATTTATCCACTCTAATGCACGTTTCCCTGTCGATGTTTCTTCTCCATCGGCCGTCTGGTGGATAATCGTCAGCGTCGGCTATTCGGAGGTCTCGGACGGCAAGGCTACCTACTCAGGCCTCTTCCCACATCGCTTTCCCACATAGCAGAGTCCTCTCATGCCCACAGGTACCGCCGATAGGTACTCGGTCGGCTGGCAGCTTGCGCCGATTCACTCCGAGCGGTCCGATCTTCGATCCGATTGATTCCAGCTGTCCCTCATATATCCACCGGTACCAAAACACTCCCCTCCGGTGGTTTGACGCTCCGGGGGTTATTATTGGGGTCGAAAACGTGTTTTTTAACTAGGAAAACCGTAACTCCGTATTTGGTCGCATATCGATCGCACCGCACCTCGTGGGTGCGAACCGGAGTTGACATTAGCGTACAGATGGTATTGGGGTATCTACTAGCCTTTCTCTCACTTCCGTAAATGCTTGGCATGCCCGTAACACTCTTCGTGCGCTGTTTTTCTCATCATGTACGTAGTTCTCGTAGCTGCGGTAGTTAGTTTTTGTACTTTGTTTTTTTGTTTTCGGGTTAGTCGGTGGAGGTTGTAGTCGGGTAGTTAGGTGTGCGATAAGCTTCGGCTTCTAAGCAATATAAATTTCTTCTTCTTCTTCTTCTGTATTTATTCGGCTCACTAAGGCTCGCAAAACTTCCTGATAACAAATCTCGCTTCGAAGAACATTTTATTATCGTATACTTTACTTGCTCTACCTTTTACTTCTCATCACTTTGGTTTACCCTGGTATACCATACCAGGCTGAGCCTCCTCGTCCCTGACCGTACGGTCGCGTTTGTTGTTCTAAGCGAAAGAAACCCTACGAAAACTGGCTTCTAGCGAAGAATTCTCCAGTCTTGACCTCCCGAAAGGAAGGAAAAGAAACTTATCCGAAACATCAATCTACGCCGCCAGAAGAACCGGACATTCAGTCATGTCGCAGCAAGCTTCACTTCAGTCCTTTTTCACCCAATCTTCCCCACAAGGGACAGCCCCCTCACAGAACAGGAACACTCAGGATCCCGACCCAACCCCATCCGGAACACAGGAACAGGAATTTTCCTCGACCTTCGCAACAGAATCTGACTACAACGACCCTTACCAACCGAGAATCGACTATCTCTATCCGAGCACTGTCCCCCATACTACTCACACCCAGACAGACCTAAACTACATCACCTGGGCCATTAGACATGCAACCAGCCGGATCTGCCCGCCCTCCGACAGGATTGAAATCCTCGAGGAGCAATCGATTACACTCCGGAGAACAGTGGAAACACTGAAACACCAAATCAAGGCACAAACAATGATGATTACCAACATGCATTCAGCGATCCATTCTCTCCTCAACAAACCCCAACCGCAGCAACAACAGCAACAGCAACAACCACAACAACCGCAACAGAGACAAAGAACGGCCCCTCCAGCGGTCCCCCAAACAGTCCCCCAAGCAGCGCCACAGGCAGCTCCTCAGGCCCCCCCACCCGCACCTCCCCAACAAGCCCCACCCCGTGGATGGAAAGCAGGCACCTGGGCCGCCGTGGCCTCGGCAGCCGTTCCTGCTCAGAAATTCCAGGTGGTCGAAAGAAAGAAGCCTGCAAAGCCAAAAGCGGATCCCATCTTCAAACCAGAGTACACCAAAATCAACAGAGAAATCATTGTTGAAACCACTGCCCCATCCGATGTCAACCCCTCCGAGATCAGGACCCTGGTGAACGCAAGAATCCAGGACGAATCCTGCCACTTCATCTCAGCAAGGAGAACAGCCAAGGACAACTTCATCCTAGAAACAAAATTCATTACTCCCGCAACGAAGGCAATGGAATATGCCAAAGAAATTGAGGAGGCCCTCCTCACCCTACAAGTACCGGTCGCCAACATCCGTGCAAACTCCAAATGGTCAAAGTTCCTTCTCCACGGAATCCCCACAATGGTCGGGGAGGGCATCGAGGCAGGACAATTGGTAGCATCCGAAATCAGAAGCAACTATGGAGAGAACTTCCAACTTGCCCAGGTTCCCCGCTGGATCTCCAGAGCAGAGACTCGAATGGAGAAAACCCACTCATCAATGGTCATCGCGCTCCCAGGACAAGTTACAATGGAATCACTAGGAGTTAAGTTCCTATCCCTCTTTAACCGAAGCTGCCACATCGAGGCCTTCCTCCCAACCTTCCCAGACACCCAATGCGCGAAGTGCCTCGAATATGGCCACCGCCAGGAGAAATGCAAAAACAACGGGAGATGCGGTCACTGTGCCGGAGACCATCTCACCAGCTTCCACCCATGCAAACAATGCCAGGGAGGATATAGATGCACCCACACCCCAATCAGATGTCTGAACTGCAAAGGAATCCATAAGGCCTCCGACCCAGCATGCCCCGAAAGAGTCAAACGCCGATTCCTTAACAAAGGAAAAGAAAACGCCCCACCCGTTCAAGACCCACCGGCCGCACCCGGCCAAGAGTCGATAGTTCAAGTACCAGCCACCGCCCCAGTCGGAGCCACACCCGTTCCCGAAGATGACCAACCCATGACAAATAATGCTTAGGCCTCGAACCACCGCGCTCGCACACCAACTCAATTGTGCACGGAGCGAACTCATTACCAAGGCGGCGGTAGAAGAAGCGGAAACAGACTCTAGCATTTATTTCCTATTATTACAAGAACCATGGACCTCAGCAGAGGGATACCCACCAGAATCGAATCTCTTTTATATTTTTACAGCCAGCAATACCAATACAAAATGCGCAACATACGTCCGCAAACATGCCAACCTCAAACCAAAACACCACTACACATACGATAATTTCATAGTATCGATTACGGTAGAAATCCAGAACAAAAAAACCCAAATCCTAAACATATACTCCCCAGGCCGAAGTGGCCTCTTCGCTCAGATAGCAAGTACAATCCAAACCCTTGATAACTGTCTAATAATGGGAGACTTCAACTGCCACCATCAAATGTGGTACGGAGTAAATTCACATGAATACAGGAACAATATTCGAGCAGACCGCGTCAACGGTGCACGGCTAAAACAGTGGATAACCCGACAGAAACTGACCCTCCTGAATGAGCCAGGAGTCTATACGCACTTCCCTAGAGACAGAGGGAAAAGGCCCACAATCATCGACCTCGCATTTGTAAAAGGCCCAACACTTGACCACAACCTACGATGGAGCACTGAACCGTACGGAGCGGGCTCAGACCACGGGAGAACCTCTGTCCATCTACACCTGGAAAAACCA